CTCCTCCTCCTCCTCCTCCTCCTCCTCCTCCTCCTCCTCCTCCCTCCTCCTCCATTCCTTCTCCTTATGAATAACTTCGCCCTGTCGCACCCCGAGGCGTTTCGCCTGAGACTTCCTCACCATATATGACTCTGCAGCCTTACAATGTCAACAGCTTCACAGATAGAGGGCGGGCCGTTTTCAAAATGCAGCTCTCGCCTTAGCGCCGCGAACACTCGTTTATTAAATTTGCAAGAGCTTCACGGATTGAGAGCGGGTCGTTTTCAAAATGCGGCTCTCGCCTTAGCGCTGCGCACATTCGTTGTAAAAAGATGCAAGAGCTTCACGGATTGAGGGCGGGTCGTTTTCGAAATGTGGCTCTCACTTTAGCGCCGAACAGATTCGTTTTCAAAATGTGCGAGAGCTTCCCGGAGTGAGGGCGGGTTTTCGACATGTTGCTATCGCCGTAGCGCCGCGCACATTCGTTTGAAAGAATTGCAAGAGCTTCACGTATTGAGGGCGGGCCGTTTTCAAAATGTGGCTCTCGCCTTGGCGCTGCGCACCTTCGTTGTAAAAAATGCAAGAGCTTCACGGATTGAGGGCGGGTCGTTTTCAAAATGTGGCTCGCCTCAGCGACGTACATATTCCTTTTAAACATGTGCAAGTGTTTCACGTATTGAGGGCGGGTTGTTTTCGAAATGTGGCTCTCAGCTTAGCGCTGCGCGCATTCGTTGTAAAAAGATGCAAGAGCTTCACGGGTTGAGGGCGGGTCATTTTCGAAATGTGGCTCTCGCCTTAGCGCTGCGCACATTCGTTGTAAAATTTTGCGGGTGCAACAGTTATGTTGATTGGCGGTGTTGAACTCCCAAGAATGGCGTTCTGGCACGATGCCGGATCGTCAAGACGCAGCAGTCAGGTTGATACGTGGCGTTGAACTCCCGCGAACAATGTTCTGGCACGCTTCAGGATCTTCAAACGGCTGTCTTCCAACGAGGCCGTTTCCCCAATGGAAATGAACCGTTGTAGGGGCCTATGAAGAGGGAGCTTGGAGGGAGGGTTAATTCCAACATCGTTGATGACTCTTGGGTTTACACTGGTCCTCCTCCTCCTCCTCCTCCTCCTCCTCCTCCGCCTCCGCCTCCACCTCCGCCTCCTCCTCCTCCTCCTCATCATCATCATCCTCCTCCTAACGTTTTCTTACTCGGAGTTTTGACAGTGGGCGGAAGGGGGCGGCGGGAGGGGGGGGGTCTGGCTCCGGACCTCTGCCTTCAGTGCGGCTGTGTGCAAAAGTGCGTCCCATGGGGGAGACCCCACCTGCGTGAAACGGGCGCTCAAAACAGCCAAGATCTACTGCACTGGGGGGGGGAGGGGGTGCGAGGGCCCGCGCCGATCGAAGAACTCCTCCTCCTCCTCCTCCTCCTCCTCCACAATTACTCAATATGAATACTACTCTCCCTCTTCCCCTGATGGCGTGCTGGGAGTAGCTGACCCCCCCCGCGTCCTGCTTTTTTACACACAGGATTCCCGGGAGTTGGGTTTTCGCCTGCATTTTTTCCGAAATGCTGCTCTCGCTGAGGCGCGGGCCTCATTTTCGGGCCCCGCTCGTTCCGAATCGTGCTCCCGCTGCAGCGCTGGCCTCATTTCCGTGCTTCCGCTCGTTCCGAACCGTGCTCCCGCTGCAGCGCTGGCCTCATTTCCGCGCTTCTGCTCGTTTCGACTCGTGCTCCCCCTGCAGCGCTGGCGTCATTTCCCGTGCCATGCCACAGCACACGCGCACACACGCACACACACACACACACACACACACACACATACCACCACCACCACCACCACACCACCACCACCACCACCACCACCACCACCACCACCACCACCACCACCACCACCACCACCACCACCACCACCACGACAACCACGCACACACGCACGCACGCACGCACGTGCACCACCACCCACTACGCACGCGCGCGCGGAGCCACATGTCCGCTACGACACGCGTCCGCGGATAGAGAAAATCAGCGCCATGGTAAGGGATGGGAGGGAGGGGTAGGACGTCAGATATGACGCGAGCGCACCTAGCTTGTCCTTCTCCCCCTCCCCCTCCTGCTCCTCCTCCTCCTCCTCCTCCTCCTCCTCCTCCGCCTCCTCCTCCTCCCTCCTCCTCCTTCATCCCTCCTTCCTCCTCCTCCTCTCTCCTTCTCCTCTCCTCCTCCCTCCTCCTCGCTCTCCTCACTCCCCCTCCTCCTCCCCTCCTCCTCCCTCCTCCTCTCCTCTTCCTCCCTCCTCCTCCTCTCCTCTCCTCCTCCTTTCTCCGGCCATGGCGCACCCAGAGACGGGCCCGGAACCGATGTTTGTGTCCAGCGGGCGCAGAGCTCGGGTCGGGGGAGCGAGCGGGCTGCATACGGCGCTAAAAGAGAGGCAGAGGATGGAGGAGAAGGAGGAGGAGGATGAGGAGGAGGAGGAGGAGGAGGAGGAGGAGGAGGAGGGAGGAGGAGGCGAAGAGGAGGATGGAGGAGGAGGAGGAGGAGGGGAGGAGGAGAGGAGGGAGGAGGAGGGAGAGGAGGGAGGAGGAGGAGGTGGAGGAGGACGGGAGAGACGCCTTTGCCTCGAGCGCGGGCCCCCCTCCGAGCACTCGGCCTGCCAGGCGGTGGTGCAGATGCGGTCCCGGAGCCACGGGCCGCTGCCGTCGTCGATATGGAAGTCGTCCAACCTAAGGGGGAAATTCTGCTGGGGGGAAACGGCTCATGGGACGCACCAAGAGATACTAGTACTAGATGTTATCCTCGGAGGCGCACGCCCGACCCGCACATACGGTATACCCATACCGTAGCAGATCGTTGCCCGAGCGGTGTGGCCAGAAAGCGCCCGCCACAACGCATCTGCTGTCAGATTTCTCTGCGCGCGTCGCCCCAAGGGGGGGAGGCGCGACGCACACATGGTATCGGTATGCTGGGGTGGCGCCGACGGAAGGCGGCTCAGGGTGGGGGGGGGGGAACCACCGAGTCGGAGCCTGCAGTAGATCGGGCGGAAGATCGGCAGCAGGCCCCCGATAGCGAGCCTCCGCACGCTCGTGGGCAAGGGTGTGCTAGGAGCCCCCCCCCCCTGTCGGCGATGCGTTCCCCGCTGAGCCTTATCCTCCCCTAACGTTGCCCCCCGGCTGTTGGGCTTTCGGGTCTTTGTTCAACTCTCCAGCGGCCGTTCGGGACGATCCGGGCACCCCCCAGAACGCTCTTGGCGACGCGCAGTGGAACGCATCACCAGGTTGGACGACAAAAACGTCCAAAAAATCTCCAACCTCCAACCCGAAACGCCCCTCCCCCACTCTCGATGTTTTTTTTCAAAATGGGGTGGGTCCCTGGAAGTCCCGACCCTTTCCCCAGGGCCGGTTTCTCATCCCGAGTCGTCATTTTAAGGTTCCCGGACCTGCGAGGGCCCCCAGAAGCCGAAAACGGCCAAAACCCTCCCGCCGTTATTCACGACGCGAGCATATCTGAGATCCCCCCCTGAGCAGACCCCCCCTACTGGCACACCTGAACTGGGTACAGAAAAATCTGGTACGACGCCCAACAACATACGTTGTCCAAAGCCGACAGCGGCCGATGTTGGGCAGGAGACCTTGCGTCTCAAACGGGAAACGTCCGCGGCGACACCGACAACGAGCCTGGCTCAAAATGAACAGAACCAGCTGTTGGTCTTCGTCCCCGTGTTTTTCAATACCCATTTCGGCTGTGCCGACCCTGCCCCAGCATCAGCCAGTACCGAATCGGTAAATCGGATCAAAACGACATGTGCATCGGATCGGACTGCATCGGGCCCGGAACCGAAATCGAATTGGATCGGCTGCGCCAGGATACACAACAACGCCATGCAAGCACCGCGCCGCATCGGACCACGAGAGCGCCGGCACCGAATCGCATCGGGCACCGATCAGATCGAGTCGGATCGGATCGAATCGGATCGGCCTCGGATCGAATCGAATATCGGAACGTCGGAACTTCGGAATCGGATCGCAGCGGATCGGCATCGGCATCGGATCGGCGCCGATCGTGCCGAGAGGACGCCCGGCCCCGACGTTGCCCCCGACGGCCGGCACAGCGGCGCCAGCTGCAGCGCGCGCCCGGCCGGCAGCCACGCCCGCAGGGCCTCCTCGTGCAGGAAGGTGACCCCGCCGCGCACGGTTGGCCGCGCCACCACCTGGAGGACGAGGAGGAGGAGGAGAGAGGAGGAAGGAGAGGAGGAGGAGGAGGAGGAGGAGAGAGAGAAGATGGAGTGGATTCTAGGAGAGTCTGCTTAGAAGGAGGAGGAGGAGGACCTCCTCATCCTCCCGGCCAAAGGGAGGAGGAGGAGGAGGAGAAGGAGGAGGAGTAGGAGGAGGATGAGGACCGCGCACAGACACTCCTGCTGAGGGCTAGAAAAACATTCGAAGCCAAGAGAGTAGACCTCACTGCTGGCGTCTTCCTGAACGGCAGCCCAGGTCCAGACCAGAGACATTCCGAGAAGAAAAGAGGCTCCAAGAGAACGCCCAAGGTCCAGTCCAGGCTCTTGATTTTCTTAAACGGAATCTGGAGGTCATGAACGTTGATGTTTTTTCTTCAGATGTCTGATGAGAGTGCACCGACTCTGGCCTGCGCCCAGGATCGGTGCTTGCCCCCGCCTGCCTTGGCCCGGAAGGCAATGCACCGATCCTGGGCCCAGGATGGGCTTGGCCAAGACCGGTGTATGTGCGCAGATCTCGTCGCCCGAGCCACCACCGCCTCCAGCAGCCCCTCTCTTCGGGCGTTGCTAGAAGTGGTCCTGGGCCAAGGTGTCCGCAGGTATGCTCGCGTTCATGGCAGAAACCACGACAGGAGGCGTGCGGCACTGGACAAAATCAAGACATCGCAGGTCTGGGCCCCGAGCTGTTCGCGCCACTTGGGAGCCCCATGAGGTCCTCTTGGCCTCGTGAGTGGTGCTCTGGAGCCCATCTGAGCCTCTCAGGGCATCCCGGGGACACCTTGGGCCAGGAACATGAGGCGGGGATTGATTCATGTCCATCGCCTGGGAACCGACGCCCCGGGGACCCAGCGGGCGGTGGATATGGATACATGTTGGTCCCTGGGGCCATATACATACATACATACATACATACATACATGCATGCATGCATGCATGCATACGTACATACATACATACATCCATACATACATACGTACTTACATATATACATACATACATACATACATACATACATACATACATACATACATACATACATACATACATACATACATACATACATACATACATACACACATGCGTACGTACGTATATACATACGTACATACATACATATATACATGCATACATGCATACATGCATACATGCATACATGCATACATGCATACATGCATACATGCATGCATGCATACATGCATGCATGCATACATACATGCATGCATGCATACATGCATACGTACATATATATACATACATACATACATACATACATACATACATACATGCATGCATGCATGCATACATACATACATACGTACATACATGCATACGTACATACGGCCATACAACCATACAACCATACATGCATGCATGAATGCATGCATGCATACATACATACATACACACACGAGCACATACATACATACATACATACATACAGACAGACATGCATGCATGCATACAGGCCGACAGGCAAGCAGGCAGACAGACATATATACATGCATACGTGCGTACATACCTGCATGCATGCATGCAAACATACGTACATACATACATGCATGCATGCATATATACATATAAACATACACAAACGTACACACATACAGGCATGCATGCATGCATGCATGCATGCATGCATAAATACATACAGAACACATACAGGCACCATACATGCACACAGACATGCAAGCATGCATGCATTGAAACATACCTACATGTACATATACATACATACAAATACATTCATACAAATACAAATACAATTAAATGCATGCACACCTACATACACACGTATAAATGCATGCATACATACATGCATGAATACATACATACATGTTCACACACATACGTACATACATACATGCATGTATACATACATACATGCATGCATGATGCCTGCATAAAGACATACATACATACATGCATACGTACACACACATACATACTTATATACATACATGCATGCATACATGCATGCATGCGTGCATACATACACGCATACATACATGAATATATAGATATACAAACATACAGAGACATATAAACATATAAATGTATGATAATATGTCAATATATAACATACATATCCATACACATGTCCATGTCCATATCTATAGTCACCGCCCGTCGAGGTCTCGTAGAATCGATCCTTCTGGCGTTGGTTTCATATATGTGTATATGTATATGTATGTATGTATATATCTATCGATCTATATATATATATATATCCCCGCCTCGGAAGGGACACCTTTGGCAACGCCCGATCTCTCGGCCCGCCCGCGCGGTCCACGTGGTGCCCTGGCACCCCCGCGATGGCGGGGAGCCACGGCTCCCCCTCGCCGCGGCGGAGGCACAGCGCCACGCTGCCCTGCGCGCCCAGCATCGCACTCGCTGCGGCCTCCTCGCCGGCGGACGCCGCAGCCTCGGCGAGTCCGGCGCCGCCGCCGGCGCAGAGCCGCAGCCGCACGGAGGCCCCGCCCACGTCCACCACCGACGGAGTCGAGCATCGGCCACACTCAGGAGCGACCCCGGGCAAGAGTGGCCTTTGGGTGCGCGGCATCACGGGGGGGCCCGCAGGGGGGGGCGGGGGAAGCAAGCGCAGACGCGCCAGCCAGTGGGACCCCAGGGGGCCGCGTGTGCGCTGGGCATGGTGCTCCTTCACGTCTCTGTGCGTGATCAGCTGGTGGCGAACATCATACAAGTCACGCCGTTCTGCCAGGTCCCGGAAAACGCCCTGCATTAACCGAGCAGAATCAAATCGAGGATCACCTTTAGTCAGACGAATCGTCCGAGAAAAGCCCAGGGGACCCCAGGGGACCATAGGGGACCCCAGGGGATCCCAGGGGACCCCGTGGACCCGCTTCGAAGGCCACCCTGGCGAAGGGTCACTCTTACGTGCCGCCGAGAGTAGCCCTCCACGGCCGCGGCCACCGGCGCCACGTCCGCCGCGAGCCGGGCCAGCGAGAGGGCGGTGGCGACCTCCCACTCGATGGGCATCTGGAAGGACGGGCGCGTGGCCGTCACCGCGAAGGCGGTCATGGTCCCCCCCCGACCGAAGGCGCTGGCGCGAGCGCGGCACTCGCTCCCCCCGCCCCCCCCCCCACCCCTCTCCCCTGCACTCCCCGTCCCCATTCCCCTCCTCTCCTCTTGCCCTTTCTCCCTCCCCATTTCCCCCCCCTTTCTCCACCCCCGCGTCATCCCTTCCCCCTCCTCCTCCTCCTCCTCCTCCCTGCTCCACCTCCTCCTGCTGCTGCTGCTCCTCCTCCTCCTTCTCATCCTCCTCCTCCTCCTGCTCCTCTTTTGCCT